GGGGGGGAAATTCACTCCCTTTATTCCCCATCTCAACCCCTGAAAAGGGAACAGTGCATCAGAGCATCTGATGACAAAAGACAACAAGGGAGGGGATGGGGTTTGGAGGAGGTGCGGGCAGGAGTACAAGTTATGTCCTGTAGCTCTCTGCTGTTTCCCAGGTGAAAATGTAGCCCTAATCCATGATTTCACCTTGAGTTTATTTCTGTGCTCCTATGTCAAGAGAGAGGCTGGAATTTATTCTTAAACACATTAAATTTTAGGACTCCCTGAGAGTGGATGTCACAGGTGGTGAGGAGCCACCATTACTTTATTATTACATTCTTAGCAGACCAGTTGCTTAAATATAACTCAAACAAATCCAAAAGCAAATGGCGAAGTGCCTCTGAATTACCGAGCCCTGCCTGTACGCCAGAAAATGTCAATGGTGGTTATGAAGATGTTGCTGATGAGACCTGTTACTTTGCATTTAAAAGCCATACGGACTGGTTGCTTTCCATCAATATGAAGTAATTCACTCTTTAACACGTCATCCCCATGCACACCTACTTGTCAATGCCCAGAGGCTCACAAGGGAGCCTGGTAATGTGAAAAGCCAAAGGAAGCCTGCATTAATCCAACGTGAGATGTGAGCCCCGGGGACCCCAAGGTGGCACTGGCTCGATGATGGATCCTCGCCTGCATCGTATCAAACGTACGACTGCACAGGCATCACCAAAGCACTCCAAACAACAGCATGCCATACTTCTGCCGTACCTTTCACATGAGGAGCTCACACCTCCTTTCCTACCATTAGGGCTTCAACACCGCCAAAGGATGGGAAAATAACACAATTATTCCAGTTTTAGAAATAATAAACCAGAGGCAAAGGAGGTTATGTTAATTCTGAGACCATACAGCAAGTGAATGAATGGCTGTGGTAGCCCCAAGGTCCCAAATTTCAGTGTCAGCCTGCAAAAAGTCCCTGGACATGAGCAAGAGCTGGCTCATATAGCCCAGAGAAGAGGGAGGTGAAGGGAGTCATCATAGTCTTCAGATGCAGAAAAGGTATCTGTAGAGATGGAAGGAGTAATCGGTCCCTCCTATCCACTGGGACACAAAGCGATGGATGGGCTTACCCCACAGCAGGAGAGACCTGGACAGAGTTGGAATGAAGAGCAGCCCAGTGCTCAGGGAGGATGCCCAGGGAAGTTTAAAAATAGGTTATACAAAGATCACTCGGAAGGTGCAGGAGAAGATGAGATGATCTCTCTCGGCCCCAGTTTCTAATGGAAAAACACTGAACATATGAAAAATAAAGTTTGACAGAAAAATGCCCAACTACATCTAGTCTGAACTTGAGTTAAGGTTCCTTTTGTGAAACAAGGTTGTAAAGCCAAGTATTCGCTTTCTTTTTACCCAGACACACAGCGGCGCAGCCATGCCCGCAGATACCCATGAAGGCTTAGATACGGACAGAGCTCCTGCCACCTCACTGTGACACCAAGGGTTCGCACCTCAACGTTCAGTCTCGGGGGCACGTTCATGGACAGGATGTTACAGAGCAAGCAGTGTTCGGCTGGCAGTGGGTTTGGGGCATCCGTCTCACCACCATGCCTGTCGTCCGACACATCTGGCTGCAAAGCATTCAGCGAGGTATTTTATCCACTGAAAAGTGCTGTGTCAAACACAAGGTGTTTGGTGGAAAGATGTCAGCACAGATTAACCACTCCTGATTAAAATCCTCTTCTGCGAGCAGTCTGAGACCTCTTCTTGCACGCATGACTGCCCATCTGACTGCTGCATATTCATAGCCATCCCTCCATCTCCTGACTTTCTCCAACAAATTCCAAGAGCTCTGATTTTTCTTCTTCTGCTGGAAGGAAGCTCCAACCCAGGAGCTTAGTCTCCTTGGGGTCTCCTTGCCACCCGGAGGGCTTCCCTACTGCTCCACGCCCCACCAGTATGAAGCCAGGTATACCTATATTGACTAATAATTCATTTAGCAGGAAGAATGGAAATGAACTCATTAAAATGCAAATAATCCCCTAAAGCCTTCCCACAACTCCTCTACGAATTCAAAGGGGCAGGAGTCAGGCCCCACTGCCAGGCAGAGAGCTCCCAGAAACGCCCCTGCAGTGCTAGTGCTGCAAAGCACTGGGTAGGGAGGCTGGGAAGGGATGCTCCATGAGCTCATTCTGCATGATGACAGCTGTTTTGTGTGTGTTGAAGCTATGCTGCCCTCCTCCCTCATCTAGAGATATTCAAAAGCACAAGTGTCCCACGACCTATAATGGGGACGCAATAGTATAGTCTGCTGACTTTTTTGTTTCAACATTTTAGCCCACCATGTTTTGCTGCCTGCACAGTGACTGAGCCAAGGACAAAAATCAAAGACAAAGATTCAGGATTATTATAATCCTAGGTCTAACAGTTGGCACTGGGCAGGCCAACAAGTACTGCGCTTCTGCATGGCTTCATTTGGGGCAAGACCAGGCTCAAGAGCAGGCAGAGCTTTAACACGCCAACCCTGTGGGCAGGACCCAAGGTGTGGATGAAGTCAGGTGCGTCCACTCTGGCCAAAAACCTGCCTTGCTCATCAGCAGGAACAGGTCCATCAGCTTGGAGTCCAAGTTCACTGAACGTGCAGTGGAAATAATTCAGTTTTCCCATTAAGTATCTCTAGTTTGGACCAGGAAAAAGACCCATCTGAATAAATTATCCCTTGCAACCATGATGCCGTTCCCAGCGCCAGCCACCGAACACCGACGTGCTTCAGACATGTCCCATATCACAGCTACAGCTCCTCCAGACCAAGACATGCCGTGCTTTCACGGTTTGCCCCCCAAAAGAAAGCATTTCTTACATAAGCCGTGGGATGTCACTGACAGGCACGGTCCCATCATGTGTCTCGTTTTCCCCATCCTCCTCCTCCTCCTCGCTGCTTTCTGACTCCTCGCTGGAGGAGGAGTAGTCCGTCACCTTCTTCAGGGGGCGATTGGTTTCTTCGATGCGCAGCTCCCTCAACTCTTTGGCTAAGGCCGTCAGATCCTAAAGGGCATGGGGGCAAGAAAACAAGGAGGTGATGGTTATTATATTTAAAGCGAGGAGAATGTCACATACATCTCTTCAAAAGCCAATGCTAACAGCACAAGCAACAAGAAATAGCTTTACAGAGTCGTTACAAACATGAGACGAACGTAAGACAATGTTTGTAGCATGTAGCATTTATTAAACAAAACAAAACTGATTTATGCTCACTGAAAAATCAATAGCCAACCTCTTTTGTTTCCTGTTTGGAACGTGTATGTGCATATATATACACACACATATGTATATACACGACAAAGTTGTATTTGTTGGAAAAGGTGAAGTTCAGTCACCATCATAGTAAACTGGAAAACAACGTCATTTCAAAGATTGGCTCGGAGAATTTCTCCTGCAGGGTTTTCTCTTCTTTCAAACTTCGCAAAGAAACCCTGTAATTGTATTTATTCTGTAATAAATGCATTTGGGAGGGAAGCAATGACAGCATCTCCCATGGAGTGGTGCAATCCCCACGTCAAGAGCTGCTTCTGTGGTGAGTCTCCGCCGTCGGGCAGCTGCCAAGAGGCGGTGAGGAGCACAAGGAGAAGCGCCCAGCTCAGCCAGACTTTGGAGTCACAGCTCTGAGTCAGCCACACAATCAGTAAAAAAAAAAAAAA